ACCGGGAATCTGGGAGGCAAAGTGGGAGACACGCGACGATGCTGCGCAGGCCAGGTCCTTTTTTGCAACAATTCCCTTTATTTGCTGCACGTGGGCGCATACTACGTTCCAGGATGCAACAGCTACGAAAGAGACATACGAGTCAATGAATGAAATATCCAAGAACAAGAAAGCTCGTCTCAATAATGAAGATTTCCCCTCTCTCACCGAAGCTGGAACAATCAGGTAAGTCATTGTACGCAATCACGACATCTCCCTGACGTCGATTATTGCCTATAGCCGATTACCAAAGCACGAATCAAAGCATGCTAGATCCTTGTCGGATGAGTCGAACATTCCTATCACACCGGTCTCTCTTCGGGATCTCTCTCCAGAGGTTGTGTCGCCTGATGAAAACACTCTTATCCCAAGCCATGAGATATCGGCACGTTTATCGGTCCTCGAAAACACTTCACCCGTCACACAAGAGTACACCTCTCAAGATAATAACGCCCGCTTCGATTTAACAACACTCTACATCACGGGTCTACCCAAATCCCGCTCAGACGCAGCTCTTAAACATCTGTTTCAACCTTTTGGACGTCTTAGGTCCATTATTAATCTTACGTCTAGTACGTCTATCCACCTATGAGACAGAGGTGCTTTCTGATCCGTTTTTAGAAAAAGAATTTGGCGCAGCCTTTGTTTCTTTCGGTAACATCGAGGGACCAGAAAAAGCTATAAGGACATTCGTAAGTGATCATGGTTCTGTTGGATCAACTGCTGAGCATTGCGTTTCTCTAGAGAGATGGCCAGCGGTTTACTCTTGATGGTCACACACTTCATCTCAAATACAAGAAATTTAAGCCGTTCATTCCCAGAAAGGGTCAAAGTTCTCCACGAAATGTAAACACAAGAGTAGAAGATGGGAATCAGCCGAGTCCATTGCAGCATCCCATCAGCCAGCTCGAAGCAAATTCTTCGCCCAGAAATCTTGTAGAGCCACTCCCACACGAGGTAACACTGTCCACGAAAACGGAAATGATGCATACAGGGACCGACGATGGTTATATCCGGGGGGACACGACGCACGACACGAGTGAACAGCAGAGCCAAGCTCAGAGCGCTAATCAAGTGAATTCGATTGCTACCAGTGTCGATGTTCCTATAGCAAACCCCTCGACCTTTGCTGCCTCTCCGGCTCCAGGAGTGGATGCGAATACCAAGGCTCAAGTCTACTACCCCTATCCCACTACGGCATGGCCTCACCCCTATGGACAATATGGACACCCCTATGCCGCATATCAACCGATGTATGTCACTCAGCCATACGCTCAACCATATTGGGTGTGTTATATCCTCGTAAGCGAGTTTTATATACTGACGATTTTCAGTTTCCCTCTGGGATCGTTCCCGTTGCTGTCAATACGATGGCATCTCATCATGGTCAATCTACATCGGCTACGAACAACTATTCGATTCCGGCTCAGGCACCTGCTTCGTTTGCGTTGGGAAATCAAACTTCGATTCCAAGGGGACCTATCGTGCCCATCGGATGCTATAGGCACCCCAACGGCAGTATCACGTATGTCTACCCATCCGAGGTCGTCGAAAAGTACAAGTCTGAACACAAGGACGCCCACAATAGTACACCAAGCCGTACTCTAAAGGATTTCTACGCGACCCAAGCTGCATTTAGGGCACCCCAACCGGCCATGATGCCCATGTATCCTGGAGTGTATCCTCAGGACGCCACCAAGTTGTTTGCACCCTATGCACCTGCCGTGCCTTATCCAGTTTCTCATGGGACCTCTGGAACTGCAAATTATGGGAATACCTCTGGCCAAGAGGGAGGAGTATACAATCTCGCGTCAAACGCGGCAGTGGCGCCAAATGGGTCGCTCAATTCGCTTGGCATGTCTGGAGTGCGTGCCACGGGATTTGGAGGGACGAGTCCACAAGCTCAACAGCCAACGTCGGCTGTAAACGCTTTTGCAGGACAGGCCGGGTATGTCCCAGGACCTCAATACGCGCCGTTCCACTACAACGGGGACTCTTCTCAGCACGCATACAATGGCGCAAATGCAAGTGTATATGGGGTGATGGCTGGCGGTAGCGAGCCGGCGAGCACTCGAGGCTAGCGGGCCGCCCGCCACCCACGCTGGACGTGGGGGGATATTCTTCGCTCGTTGTGAATTGAGCCATCGTCATCGAAGCTTGTGTGCGTGGCAAGGAAGCTTGGCCCAGC